CGAATGAACGTAGTCATCGTGAGCCGCAAGAGACAAGCTAGAAATGGTGGTCATAGTTATGGGTGAATGCCTTTGGCTTAGTACCAGCAGCTTCAACCCACAACGCAAGGCCGCTTGGTCGAGCGCTGCCACACGTATTTCAAAGCCAAGCTATATTTTTTTCTCACATTCACATTTTTTTCTAAACAACTATTTTTTTTTTCTTTTGTAGTTATTTTATTAGCAAAAGAATAGCGGTAAGAGTTCTTACAATCTACGCGGAATATATTTGAGGCCAAGATAACCGGCGTTCGGGACGGGCCGAACGCCCGAACCTGAACGCCTGAACGTATGGGACCCCTTGGGGATGCGTTCGGCCGTTCGGGCTGAACGGAGACAAAAAAAAAAATAAAAAATAAAAAAAAATCATCACAAAACACCGAAAACAAGATATGCTATGGAGAAAAATAAATTAAACAAGATTTGCCCGAGCATTACATCCGAGCATTACATACCAAATTTGAAATAAAAATAAAATACGGAAAACAAATATGCGAGGCTACACCCGCTCAGCCCCCTCGGGGCCCTTTTTGCAGTATGTCGGCCGCCCTAAGTGAAGGCAGGCGCGACAGGCCCTCAGGGCCTCGATTTTCAGGGTACCCCGCAACTGGTGAAATTCAGACAGCTGCGCTGCGCMAGTTGGTTGAAGGCGCCCAGGCCCAGGCCATATTTTGCAAATGTATCTGAATGGTGACCTGGGCCAGACTCGTGGAAAAGGCTGTGAGCAGGCCAAGGGCAGTTGGGCACATGTAACCATCAGGCCCTGGGCCTGCGTGTGGAGGTCTGGGCCTGTGCCTACCGGGACCTACCAGAATCTTCCTGGGCTGGACGCAGGCAGGCCACTTCGATATAGGGAAGGGCTTGCCTCCTCATTCGACATTCGGGTGCTGGCTGCATGCTGCGCAAGCGTTGCTGCTGCGCTATTTGCTGGCTGGCGCCTACGCTCTTACGGGCGAGCAGGGAAGGAGCACGAAACCATAGCCAAGCTGCACTGCTATATGCTGGGTGAAGCGCAGGGTGGTCCTTGGGTGCTAGTGGCATCTGTGAGTTGGGGAACGCGGTTGTGAGGGTAGCGCAGGACATACCTGGTGCTGAAGCATGCGACATTGGTCGCCATATGCTCGTACTTCGGGAACGCTGTTGATGTCATCATTCTGCTTCATAGTATAGGCTAGATAAGATCTGCCACATGTCGTCTGGGCGCCGAGCGCCAATAGGATATCAACTCTAGTTCTTCGCTGATGATGATGGGACTACTTCAGCATTGTCAATGATGAACTCTTGGTGTGTTCTTATTTGGTGTATCTCGTGATGCAATTCTGCGTTTGGTTCGAGG